CTTAAAGTCGAGTAAGACTTGGCTAGCATTGCATAGATGCTGCGGAAATAATTCCAAGTTCCCAAATGAAAAGCCACACAGACGAACAATGAGGGTACTTTATTTGCAGTTCCAACACAAACTGTATGTTTATGGCAGTTTCCTATTATTATAGTGCTTTCGAAAAGTTAGGTGAAACTCAAACACAGACAATAAATTATCGCACTTTACATCTGTTTGAATAAAGTAAATGAACCACAATCAGTTTCATGATCATCATTACAGCCCTTCACAAGTCCACTGCTGAACACAGGCCTCCCCCCAAGTAATGCCACAAAGCACGCTCCTGAGCCACCTGCATCCATCGACTTCCTCCATGTCTTACCAGGTCGTCACTCCATCTAGTGGGGGGTCGCCCTACACTACGCCTATCGGTACGAGGCTGCCACTGAGAACCCTTCTTCGCCATCGGTTATCGGTTCTTCGGGTATGTATATGGCCGGCCCATTGCCACTTCAGCTTACTAATCCGTTGGGCTATGTCGGTCACTCTGGTTTTACTGCGGATATACTCATTTCTGAGTCTATCACGCAGAGAAACTCCGAGCATAGCCCTCTCCATAGCTCGCTGAGCGACCTTGAGCGTCCTCATACAGCCGGCAGTGAAGGACCACTTCTCAGATCCGTAAGTCATCACTGGCAACACGCACTGGTTGTACACTTTAGTTTTCAGAGATTGAGGTATACCTGACGAGAAGATGTGTCGTAATTTCCCGAACGCTGCCCAGCTGAGTTGAATCCGTCGATTGACCTCGCGGTCGAAGTTGGACTTACCGAGTCGGACTATTTGTCCCAGGTAAACGTACTCGTCAACAACTTCGAGCATAGTGCTCCCAACAACTACCGGCATATGTGTGACATGGACATTGAACATGATCTTTGTTTTGTCCATGTTCATCTTAAGACCTATGCGTTGGGAGACACCATTGAGGTCATTGAACATAGTGCTTAGGTCCTCCAGCGATTCTGCCTTAAGGACTATATCGTCGGCAAATCAAAGGTGAGTGATGTACTCGCCATTGATGTTAATACCGTATCCTTTCCAGTCCAGTAGCTTGAAAACGTCTTCCAACGCAGCGGTGAAGAGTTTCGGGGATATAACGTCACCCTGTCTTACACCTCTGTGCAATTGGATAGGTTTCGAACTCTGGTTCTGTACTCGGATAGCCATCGTAGCCGTACTGTACAAACACTTCAGCACTTCGATATACCGACAGTCAACTTGGCACCGCTGAAGGGACTGTAGCACCGCCAAAATTTCGACGGAATCAAAGGCTTTCTCATAGTCCACATACGCGAGGCAAAGTGGTAGATTGTACTCTTCAGTCATCTGTACAATCTGCCGCAGGGTATGTATGTGGTCTATTATACTGAAGCCTTTTCGGAAACCGGTTTGTTCGGGAGGCTGGAAGTCGTCGAGTCTGCGTGCGAGACGATTCGTAATGACTCTCGAAAACAGCACGTAGACGCGGCTCAGAAGGGTAATCGGTCTGTAGTTCTTCAAGAGAGCGTTGTCGCCTTTCTTAAAGAACAAGACCACTGCACTTCTGCTCCAGCGCCTCTGGAGTAGTGCCACCATGGAAGACGGAATTGAAGAGCTTCTGGAAGGACTTCAAGCACCGGTGTTCCACCCGTTTTCAGAAGCTCCGCTGTAATTCCATCCTCGCCTGGGGCCCTGCCGTTTTTAAAGTGCTGGAGAGCCATTCTAATCTCGCTCAGACTTACGTCCGGGATATCATCGGAATAGTGTCCGGTAAGATTTTCTCTTGGATAACGATCCACACGCAAGTGTGAGTAACGACTCACACTTGCGTGTGGTTCCAAAGATGATGTGTACAACTGCCCATAGAACCTCTCAATCTCACTCAAATTCTCAGGTGTCCCGGAAACAATGCTGCCACAGTCAGTCTTCAGCTTTGACAGTTGGCTCTTTCTGGCAGACAGATCTATGGCAAAGACTTTGGAGCCCTGGTTCCGCTCGATCGCTTCTTTAATACGAGCAGTATTAAAGTTGCGTAGTCTCGATGTATGCCTTTGGAGATCTGTCTGTTCAGTTGACTGTATGCTGTCAAATCTGTTACGATACGATTGCAGCCTCAACTCCCCGTATAATAGCCATGAGATTAAGAGTGTGATCGGAAAGTTTTTGTGTTCTTCTGCGGCGGGTCTTGCAGAACTTAGCTCCGACCGCATGGACAGTTTCCACGAGTTTGTCATTCGTATCGTCCACTGCATTGCAATCTTCTAGGCACTGAAAGCTGTTACGTAACTCGAGCTGAAAAGTCTCGGGATTCTGGATCAGAGCACGAGGGGGACGTAGCGTTGACTTCATTAGACGAGACCTCTCCAACTTAACGTGTAGGTTCAGTGTGCCTCTAACCATTCGGTGATCGCTGCCGGTTTTCACCCTTGCGATCACTGAGACATCACTGAACAGTTGGCGTCTGGTCGTCATAATGAAGTCAATCTCATTTTTTGTCGAACCGTCGGGGCTCGACCAGGTCCACTCCCTGTGGGGCCGCTTCTGGAAGAAAGAGTTCATCATAAAGAGTCCCTCTTTCTCCATAAAGTCGGCCAGCTGCTGGCCCCTTCGGTTCCGTTGCCCTACTCCAAATTTCCCTAACTTCAGCTCACCGTTTTCTTTTGTGCCTAGTTTTGCGTTGAAGTCTCCCATCAACACCGTGTAGTGGGTTTTGGAGGAATGCATGGCTTTAGAAATATCCTCATGCATTTCCTCCACCTCCTCATCGGGGTGTGCCGAGGTTGGTGCGTAGACCTGTATGACCTTCAGCGAATACCGTTTGGTGATTCTGAGTATCAGTTACGCGACCCTCGTCGACACACTCCCAATCTTTACAACGTTGTTGAAGAGAGACTTGTGGACGATAAATCCGACACCTCCTTGGGACAGATGGTCGCCCTCTCCGGTGATAGAACAAGTTGCCGGACTCGAGGATTACCGTGTCCTCCCCCTCTCTTCGGACCTCTTATAATCCAATAATATGCCAGCGTAACTTGTTTACCTCTTCTTCCAGCTCCAGTATCTTCTCGTCAGTCCTCAGGGTGCGTGCGTTATACGTTGCCAGGTCGAGTCGTCGTAGGTGGCAACCGAACCTCCACCGGAGATTCTTAGCACCCCCTGCCCCGCCGTTACCATGGTCGCCACCGTAGCCAGGAATAGCGGGGCCGCCGGGGACTGGGGGCCGTTTATTTGCGTCGTTGCTCATGCATATTTGCCATAGTTGCCACGCTTGGCGAGCGGGTTGGCAACCACAGTTTTTCATTATGTTATTGATGTTATTAGGAAGATGCTGCCCATCCCCTGCCTGTATCCCTCTGTCGCCACTTACGACACCCACGGGAAGATATGGGGTAGTGGATATTCTCAACCGCCACTACACGGAAAATTTACAATTGATACATTTTAAAAACATTAAAAATGCAATAAATATTATTTTTCACTAATAACGGATAATCGCTTTAACCTCCTCACTACAGGAACCACTTTTTATGTCAGATTCAATTCATATTCGTGATTTAAGATGTTTAGTCGTTACTTTTTAACTGAAAAATTACTGAAAAAATCTATTCCCGTAACAAAGAGTTTTTCCTTATGTCGTGCCACTAGGACAGATACAGGCTACTTATATTTTCAGGACTATTTTATGTTCTGCATACAAGACAATTACAGCCAATGTGAGTATATTATTGTGTAATGAAATAAGATAAGCCCATAAAGTACTTAATTTTTTTATTGAAAATATATATTATTAAACTTTAAACTTAACTTCTTCGTTATTTATTTTGAACAGATAATATTTTTATAACATTACTTATTGATTTGATTTGTATATAAAATCAGTCTCAATAAGTCAGTCATCAACAGTTACAGAATCCTATCTAGCATACAAACAATAAAAATTGACGCCATTTGCGTAGCTATAATTGAAAAATAAGAAAATAAAGCCTTCGAAAATAATTATGGATTATGAAAAGCTTCAAAACAGTTTCTCTGAGCCGTGAAACATAAATACACAGCACATTTTTTGCAGGTAACTATAGTTTTTTTGTAACAACCCTCATTTCTGCATCTATTTTGCTTTGAACTGTGTTGTGGCATGTGATTAGCTTTTTTTGACGAATAGCTTTAGTTGGTAACGGAACTATAGTAGTCTAACGTTTCTTGTGCTTTGGTAAAAGTTCTTCAAACTCATCAGCAGGGTCATCTGTGTCTGTAGAATCTAAGTTATCAGCAATTAACTTCTCACCAAGTTGAATCTTAAATTCACGTATGCCTATAACGTTTTTAACGCCTTTTTTTCTCTCTCTCTGTTTGAACTGAAGGTATGAGTTAGCAACAGCCAAGTCTATCATATGAGAAATTACTCGTATTGTCCACTTTTTTGTTCTGTTACGTGAAGGGCATACAGCTAGCATTCTATCAACTAAATCTACTAATAATTTCACACTCATCTGCATGTCTATTAGATAAACGCGTTGTAATGTCGGGAGGTTCGGGGGGATAAATAATGCGTCTACTGGTCTTGAATGTAGGTTTATTACTAACTCTAAATGTCTATTAGGCTATCATATATATAGCTACATGAGCATACACTAAACACACACTACACGCCCATCGGCAAAAAAAAATTGAATTACAAAATTTTTTTTTCAATAAAACAAAACTTGGTGTAAGATTCAAAAAAATTATTAATTATTTAAAAATATTAAAATTCCTCTCCTATATCAAACTTATAACATAATAAAATCAAAATAAAATATCGTAAACAGTGTAATTTGAAAAAAAAATAACTTTCTATCTCTTTATTTAAATTTGTTAAACTATCATCAAATTTAAGTCTAAGTTTTTGTTTTAAATTGCTTTTAGGTTGCTTATCATAACTGCATAACATTTAAAATTTTCATATATAACTATTAATTCACTAGACACGAATATACAATTAAAAAAATAAAGTTATCAAAATTATTATAAGGCGTATATAAAGTTGTTTACAATATTATTATTTTCTTAAACTTAAACTATATTTTTAAATTTAAACCTTAATAAACTTTAAAGGTAAAAAAACCAATTCCATTAAAATAGCAAGTATCCCTATTTTTAAGTAGATAAACTTCATCATACTTATTTAAATCACACTGTAGTGTGAGTATTACAAACATTACTAGCACTATGCTTACATAAGGGCCCTAATAAATCTAAATAAACTATATCAAAGCGGAATATCCCGTATCGGTTATAACTTATAACCATTGGTTCCTTTATATATTTATTTAAGTGTTTATATATATAGCAAACACTTGTCACATCGATTTACATAATTAGGTAACGTTACTAATTATGTATATATAGTCTCTAACTCCGGTCAAAAGAATCTTTTCTTTGTATTGTTTATCATTCGCTTATAGGTACGCGCGTGACCGTTAGTTGGCAACAAAAGGTAGTAGATAGTAATAACAGTCGTTTAATATTACATGCTTTGTCTCACGGCGGTTCTAGTGCAACATAATCATAATCATATCATAACAACAGGGATCAAATACAACTTAAAATCTCAGCCGCGTAAGCGGTTTGCGACACCTTTGTTTTAATTTCTAAGTATGTTCATGGGAACGTTTTTTCGATTACGTTGTATAATGGTACCTAGTTTCAACCATGCATTAAAATGATATTATAAATAGAATGAATTTAAGTTTCCCAATAGTTTGTACCTCTAAATACATATAGATTGTTACATTCAATTTTAAATTCATTTTGTAAAAATATTATGCTTTTACATAGGTACATTACCTAACAAAAAATCATTAATTAAGTTATTTATAATTTGGAACTCATTTTTTCATGACATGAAATTTATATAAAAAAAGAAAACACTACTAGGTACACAGCTCAAGTTTGTTTTACGAAATATTTATTAACATTAAAAAAGGCAATTACATTTCAAACAAAATTTTGGTTCCGTTGTCTTTTCTAAAGAAAAAACGTAAAAAGAATACTATTACATTAATAAATTTATAATAATAGTGTATCGATAGACTCTGGACTTTATTTTATAAGCAAAATATAAACCAAATATAGTTTAAAATGTACGAGTTTTACATAAAAAACATATGACAAAAAAATCAACCAGATTTATTGTAAATATGAATTAATGTGTCTAAATATGAAAAAAATCTCGTAAATTCATATACAAATGTGGTAAAACAATTACGCGCACAATACCTACATACATAAATACAACACATTTTCGCGTAGTTGTGTAAATCGATCCCTATAGTTATTACGTGTGTAACTTCTTAGTCGCATTTTGGGTAGCATTAATAGTCCTAATACAGAAATGGAAACTACACACTTTTTGATTTGCTCTTTTACTTTCTTTTCTTTCTTCTTAATATTTTTGACCTTAAGCTAGCTCTCTTTCTCTCTATTCACTTATATATTTATTTATTTATTAGATACCGGGAATCGGAGTATTAATTCATTTCATTTATATTTTATTTCTGGATTTTATCACGCGGGTACTTTATAAATATGGGCCCCCCCATTTATTTGGGTATTATATTACATTTTCGTAACATTCATTTCATTTTATTGGTACATAAACTTTCTTTTTCTATATCAAGATAAAATGTACCTACCTTGGGTTGTGCGCACAACCTTGAGGTCTACGTTTAAGTCATTTTAATAGGACTCCAACAATTGTCACGGAGGAAAACTAAGTTCACACTGTGATCCAATGAAGGATACGATCTCCATGTACCATTATTAAGGGTAACAAATTTAAGACTTCTATGGTCCCTAACAGTACTAATATGTTTAAACTGGTGTACATAACTTGTACTGAAGGTATTGTTCCCTAGTACCCATTACGCCCGATTTTATCATCCAATCACGGAAACATACCCTGCTCGAGGACTATATGTTATACCAGTGATGGACGTTCCCGTATCTCTCCATTACCTATTTATTAAGGTCAATTATTTTCTTTTATATTTATTCCTTTTATGCTTTCATAATTCTCACTCTTAACGGATTAATACTACTAGTTTAAGCATCATCAAATATTTGGGTGATCAGTCCAATATTGACGAAACTTAACCATTCAATCATTCGTATTCCCATTTTTGAACATTTCTTTCTTTCATACTTGCATTGATATAAAATAAATTCTCGCATCTCGGAGGTATATTCAAACAATTATTATTTCCCAAAATACCCGTATGTAATGGTAAAGTTACTAATTCATTCATATTATGCAGTGTAATATTATTCAATTCAAAATTTATGCTACAATTAAACTTACGTAAAAAAATCTATACCTAAAATTCCAGAAGTTTCACACGGCAACTGCTTTATAATCTGAAACTTATTATTAAATTTTCTGCCCGTCAACAGACAATGTTAAATCAACAAATCCCACGGTTCGTAATTTGCCTCCAATTCCGTTTATTGTAATCGGTTTCTTTTGTAATGAAATGTTTAGTTAATATTTATGGAAGCGCCGGTATCTACGAGCCATCTACATTTGATACCATCTATTGCTAACTCAACACAATTACTATATTCGCAACTAAATATACTATTGGTCTCGAAAAAATTCTAGATTATTTTCATTAATATCGTTATTAGGGTTAATTCAATATTTTGAGAACTTTGCGATACGCGATATTCTGGTGTTATAAAATGATTCGTCAAATCTACAAATAATTGTTCGATTTTATTGGTATAATTATCTAGGGAACTATTATTTTGTCTTATTTGCATTAGTTGGTTATGAATGGAATAGTGAATTAATAAATTTGACATAAAAACAGAAAAAAATGATAATTGGATGTAACATTTATAACTTATAATACATAATGATTGACAAATTAATGATTATACCAAGTATATGACATTGAGCTATAATAATAATAAAACGTTGTTATTTCCACTGACGCTGTTACATAATTAATTAGAAAGTTACCATGTCAATTATGAAATATTGAATAATTATATGTGTTGTTAAAATTCCGATAATTATTGTTATGGTTACTTGTCCATTAAAATTTACACATTACTATGGTAGAATATGTAGAACTAAATTATACTTAAACACCATATTGTTGCAAACTTGCAAACAAATATTATTATTATCATTATTAAGTAGTTATTTACCGATTAATTATTGCGGTATAATACATAATTTTGAATTTTTTTATTAATAGTATTAATGTTTTTCTTATTTTTTTTTTAATGAATGATTTAAAAATTTTCTTTCCCCAGTTCTGCGTATAACATTATATAAGTATTAATATAATTTTACAATAGACATCGACACTATTATAAAATTAAACTTACATTCGGTGCTTTCGAGATGTTTTGTACCTGCTACAGAACTTGGCTGGTCGCTCGTTGTACCCCTGACTTCTTTCTACTGCTCTCGTACTCGAAGATGTTCTTAGCTCTCCGATGTGGTTGGGCCTGGACTTCTTCGTACTCTTCTTTTTTCTTTCATATTTATTTTTGATAAAGTTGGTACTCTTCTCTTGAGGGAATTTTGATTAAGGTGTTTTCTGTGTCTTGGAATCTTCTTTCTTGGAAATTTTCTCTCTTATCTTCTTGATTTAATAACAATGTTACTGAAGCTTCTTGTATAATTTATTTTCAGGTCTTTCTTCATTTCTTCTATAACATTTTTTCTTTAAGTATATTATCGGCTTCGATTTGTCAAAAAATTGTAGTCTTCTTATATTCGTATTTAAAAAGTTATTTGTCACGTCCGGTATTATGTTGATTTTATTGTTGTATTATTTTCATATATTTATTTTGATTGATTTATTTTGTTCAATAAATTACTTTATTTTTCTATGCAGGGCCCGGCGGTGCGCTCGCATTGTAGCAGCGCACCGCCTGGCAGGGTCGCCATGTAATGTCGGGAGGTTCGGGGGATAAATAATGCGTCTACTGGTCTTGAATGTAGGTTTATTACTAACTCTAAATGTCTATTAGGCTATCATATATATAGCTACATGAGCATACACTAAACACACACTACAGCGTTGACAACATCACCACGGGCTTATTGTCCATCCAACGTGTCACTGCCATCTTGCCATCTACTCGTGTTTTTATTTCGCAATAACCCCGTTGCTTTTTCATAAAACTCTTATCTTTTTCCTTCATACAGTTTTTGGCAATCGGTTTCTCATAATTGTTCCAGTGTATTCAATAATTCATCACACAATTTGATAGTGGTAAAATAGCGATAAAAAAAGATGTGGGACAAGGTGCTTCGATCAGCCGAAGAATAACTGCTTCTCCGAGACCAAAACCCATCTGTCTAATTTCTGGAAAAGTTGTGTCTCCTTGATATATCTCGAAATCTATAACCATTCCCTGAGGCGTTGCTAAAACAAATAATTTTAACCCTAAGGGATTAGGTTTGTTAGGGTTATATTGACGAATTTAACATTGACCAGTAAACGGAATGATCATTTCATCAATAGACATTTTTGCTGTACGAGGTTGAAGTAAACATCCTTGTCGTATTTTCTCGAAAAGGGGACGCACTTTCCAAATCTTGTCTTTTTAACGCTCTTCGATGGTAACATCAAGATCATAAACCACTTTTAACGACGTTCTAGTTGCGTAAAAACGCAGACGTGTCATAGCTGATGTTATGATAGGCTGTTTCCATTTAGACGACCAATACATGTCTATTTGAGGATATTGTAATGAAGCCATAATCATTGTCACTACAATATAAACTTTTAATTCTTTAACTGTAAGACCAAGAGAAGAGTATTTGTTCATCTATATAACATTCAAAGAACTGTTCGTATGACCATCCATGGTCGAAATTTGGCACGTATGTTGGTTCGTACAGATTTATTTCGAGAGGTTCAAAATTTCCACTCCATAAATCCACAACATCAGGTTGAGATTGAGACGGTATTTGTCTGTAGGTTGGCTGAGCTGACCTTCGAGGGCGACGAGAAGATCTTGCTCGGCGTAAACCAGAGCCAGTTGCCTGGCGTATATAGATCCACTCGATAAAGCCGGCGATGGTGGCTCAACAACATCATGGGAGTTTGAATTTATGAAGAATCACTAGAATCATACCTTCGACGCTCTTGTGTAGCGATTTCCGTGGGTTCATTATACATGGGTCTTGGGTATCATCGTCGCTACTAAAATCCACATCAGTTTCTTCTAGTAATGCTAGCACGGTATCGTCAGAACAGGCTAAAACAAATATCAAATAAGATATTATTTACATAATTCCCTTACAGGTACCTATACACAGGACATAACAATATTGCAGTCTGCATGATTCCTAAATACAGGACATATAATTTTTATCCCCAATGAAAATAAAAGCATGGTAGAATTCGCGTAAATATTGACAAATCAAACTAAATCTGCTATTCAAAAACGTAATTTGAATAACTTTTGATAGAAATAGGAACATTTTTTATAAGATTCAGAAAGATTGAACTTACCAATGCCCAAGCGCGGCTCGATACCTCTGGATCTCGAAGCCATTTTGGCAGAATTGACCTTCAGTTGAGCTGTCAAATATTTTTTATACCTACAACAATCTTCAATAGATGTCGCTAGGGGGTTTTTATTTGACGTGACGTGAATATTAAACTCTCAAGATTTTTTATATTTTTATGTTCTATAGGTAGTACAAGTTTAGTGATGAGGTTAAAGTTTGTCAGATTGTAAAATAAATTGGAGAGAAAATAACATGTAAAATAAATCAATAAAAGAGCTTACTCCTTTCTAAAGGGCCGGCAACGCACCTGCAATTCCCCTGGTGTTGCGGTTGATCATGTGCGGCGGTAGTCACTTAACATCAGGTGAACCGCATGCTCGTTTGTCCCCTCTTCTATAAAAAAAGAGAGCCTGTGTGTGTTACGAGTGTTGACGTATAGAACCAAGACGTGGAATCTTAAGGTGGCTCAGTAAGCTATGAAGATAGAGAGAGAGAGAGAGAGATTATCTGCGTGATGGAACTCATTAACCATTTCACTGCCCTATGAATCATATATGAACATTTCCAGTGTTTAACTATAGTGTCTATATCGTGAACATGGAAACTGTTAACGATGATATCCGCAGCAGAACTAAAGTGCCCGACACAGCCTCGTGGATTACTAAACTGAAATGGCAATGGGTCGGCTAACATACGAAGAACCGACAACCGTTGAAGAAAAAAAATGTTCTATAGTAGCAGCAACGCTCTAGTTATTAGAGTGTAGGACGCCCTCTCACTAACTGCACGATCTGGTAAGACATGCAGATAGTCAATGGATGTAGGTGGCTCAGGAACGTGCTTCATGGCGTTACTTGTGTCATTTTTAGATTCAACAATATGACATCTTAACCAGGAAAATAAATAATCACCATTACACTTAAAGGAAAATATACGAAAATAAATTATTAATCGTTGCCTCTCAGTATATTTTTGTATTAAATAATGTACATCTACACAAATACAAAGATAGTTTATTAAAAACAGTGATATGCATTTCATAAATAATAGTCCCAACCATAATACTAATAATACCAGTAACATGACTTCAAAAAATAATTATTATTTCATTAATTATCGTGTACCCCTTTATAACTTACTATTTAAGTCCCAGAAAATATGCATTACCTATCTAGCAAAAAGTTAAGTTTTAAATATTATGGGAAGTAAATTAATGTTAAAAAATACCGCTAGGTTTCTTCCTCGTTCTATCCACGACGGATGTTTTTTTTTCAGAACCTGTGGTTAAAAGCAGAAATTAAAGTATTGAATACTTTAATTTAATTCTTCTAATTTACATGGAATAAATTTCTATTTATTCTATTCAATAGGAAAATTACCCCTGAGCATGAAAGTGAAAAGATCATTCACCATCAGACCACCTTAAATGGATAGGGTGGATATGTTATATAATTTAGAAAAACAAACAGTATATATATGTAAGTATATTATGTCATATATTTCCTCTCAAATATTTAGTAATTGGATGATGTCACTTTCTAAAATAAACTAAAGCATTTCAATTCACGCTTTCAGTAATATCACATAGAGTTAATATGTTGTTTAATGTGACAGACACTATGGTTTCTAATTCCAATTTAACCCTAAATATCAAATTAAATTGTTTAGAGTCGCGAATGTTATTGTAATATTAATCTGTTTGAATGGTATATCTTTGAATTAGTGATATAGGAAGGTTACTAATTAAGAAATAACTGATAAAACGTAAAGTTACAGGTGAAATACACACCACTAGTGGGAATAGATCTCGTGCTTTTGTGATGGAGGTGCATATGTCTCGTGCGTGGTGGATTCCATATAACCTCACAATATTTTTTATTTCTTAGACATTCAGCTTTTATTAAGATTTTTTCATTGCCCATAAGTGATAAAAAAGGGCTTAAAATAATATTCGGCACGCGTCCGCGTATACGTGTTGAACGGACGCGTGTTATGTACTGGCGCTGATTTTTGGAATGAGAATAATTAGGTTCAAGTTGCCTATATTTCATTTTAAGCACCAGCTCAAATTTCATGCTGCTATGTTTCGTATAACGAGCAGCGAGAACACAAGACTTTATTGACTAGTTGCAAACAGTTCCAGCTATACATCTACTTTTTGTTCCTTAATTGAGGATAGATCGTGGGTTATGAAGTTACACGAAGATATTTTTACGCTACATTATCCAATAATCTGTACGTGGACTATCTCTTCATTAATTGTAAATGAGATTTCAACCAGAGATCATCGAAAATATCAAAACGTTATGGAAAATTCTGGAAAGAGATAAAATAACTTCTTTTATAGCTACAAAACAATACAATACCAACACTGTAATAAATTCATGAAGAGTCTTCTTCAAGTAACAACCATTAAATTTTGGATTGCTACAAGGAAACGGCCATTGTTTCAGGGTTCTATTATAGAAATATATTAGTTGATCTCTGATAATGTTGCAATATTCTTAAATATTATGAGTGCCGTCAGATTAGAAATGTCAGAATGATTTTATTACCGGCAAACGTCCAGTATTAGACATTGATCTGATTCTTTTGAAGCAGGATGTCTTAAAAACTGATCGGTGATTTGCAACCAACTTCAAATAAAGCAGGTAACAGATGCGTTGTCACCTCTGAAGACAGGTGGAATTCCTCATGGTCTATAATTATACTGGCCGTATAGAGGGCCAGACCAGACCAGCACACACAACAGTGCAAGCACTGATATTTAGCAGCAGAAACAGGTAATAGTGTGTTACTTACTTAGTCGGACTCTTAGGCAGAATAGAAGTCCTACCAATTAGTAGGGATTTGCACCTTTAACGCTGTCCTCCGTTGCCGGCGTTTGGATTATTTACGTCTAGCGTGAACAAAATGGTTATACTTCAAGAAAGGTGTCACGGACCAGTATACGACTGCTAATTTATTTTTAAGCTTTTTTCTGTGTAAATTTACTGGTCAAGAAGAAACTGCATGCTAAAGAAAATAGGAAAATGAAAAAGCAACGACGGCAGGTATGTATTGCGAGCATTCACAATTAATATATAAATATAGTTTTTAAATAACACAAATAACACAGTTCGAAAAATTTTTGCTGTCTTTTTTAGTTATTACATTAACCATTCATATCGCGTAATAGATAGGAAAATAACTTGCTTAAATTCGTACGTAATATCCGGACATGAATCGTTAGACGTAGTTCAATCCACTTAGGTGAGTTGTGTGAGGCAAACATTATTCAGTCTCCATCTCTTGGGGAGTGTTCTTATGTACTGATAGATTGCGGTCTAAGAATACTTAACTCATAACTAAACCGAACAAAAATATTATTGAAGTTGATCTCAAGGTGTGAGACGCCTGTTAGGGCAAACGTATCGTATCACGTGGGCAAGAACGGTTTATGTCAGACTCCACACTTCACTCCACCTTCGTCACATATTAGTAAGGCCACGGGAACGCTTTCACACACACCTGCCACTCTACTTGAGCCGCCAACCTCATGGCAGCCTCTCCTCGGGAGAGGACAACTCCTCTCTATTTTCCTACTCAGGTAAGGCGCGTCTTCCTCCGTGGTCTCTAAATCCTAGTACGAGGGACCTTTTTTACATGGGGAAATTTCTAACCCTACCCGCCTTGCGGTGGTAAGTATGGGTTATGTCGGACTCGCACCGACTAAAACAGCATAGTGTTCTACCGCCGTACTCCTTTTTGCTTCTTATGTAAGGGACCACGACTATGACCATAAGGCGTGCTTTCCTTCGTGGTCTTAACTCCACCAGAGTCCGATACGCAGAGGTCATGGGGCCAGGAAAAATGAGCACTCCAAAACACCAACCCCAGATTTGGTTGATGGTTTCACCGCCAACCAAGTTTCGGCTGCGGAGGGTAGGGAGACTGGCACTTTTTAATACCGTCACTCCTCTCCCCACGCAGCACTACCACCACCACATCAGCGGTGCAGTCCCGCCAGTCTCGCGGAGGATAGGGCGATTGGTGCATTGCCATGCCAGCACTCCTCTTCTCCCGCAATTCCACCTCAGCTGCGGTGGCAGGGGGGAGAGCACACCACCTTCGCCACAGCCCTCGAAGACACATGCAAAATTGGCTTGCTAAGTCCACTCGGAGTGGCCTCCTCGAGCCGGCATTTTACCTCGGGCCAGCCATGTGGGTTCTTCTTAGGTCACAGCGGTTGACCAAGCCACGGCTACTATACCGTACGAGGCTGCCACTTTAGAACCTTTATTCCAGAAAGTTGACGAAGCATCTAGAGGTATTTTTTATAGGTGAGCGGGCAAACGAGCATACGGCTTAGCTGATGGTAAGTGACTACTGAACAACTGCATCACCAGGGGAATTGCAGATGCGTTTCCGGCCTTTTAGAAAGGAGTAAGCTCTTTTCTTGACGGTCTCTATGTTGTATCGGTTCAGAAAAATCTCCGGTGGTAAAAGATTCCACAGAGAGGTCTTACGTGGCAGAAAACTACTATTGAACATACACTAGTGGACCGCCAACCATCCAGATGATGTGGATGGTATCGGAAATTTTGCCGCTATGTGCGTTCGTGAAATTTGGCGGCTGGAATTAATCCGAACAATTCCGCAGAGCACTCCCCGTAGTAGATGCGAAAGAAAATGCAAAGAATTGCAACATATCTTTGCAGCGCCAGTGAATCGAGCCGATCGGAAAGGACTCGATCGTCGACGATTCGAGCCGCTCTGCTATGAATGCAGTCAAGTGAAAGGAGCTGGAACTGGGGAGCCCCAGCCCAGAGATAGGAACAGTATTCAATGTATGGCCAAACCTGCGCCTTGTTAAGTTGCAGGCGGTGTGTCGAAATGAAATACTGTCCCACTCTGCTAAGCACACCAAGCTTTTTAGAGACCAATCTGGCCTTTCTTCCAATGACCACGAAACTGCACAATACTTGATATGTTGACGCCAAGGACTCCAAAACTTTCGAGGCAACAACGTGAGTACCTTTTAAGCGGTAAACGCGCAATCTTA